AATTCACTCATGTAGGTGAGGGATTGGGGATGGTTGAAACTTCCTGATTTGCAATCTCTTTGGGAAAAATGTGAATGAACTTTTGGAAGGGCGATGCCCTTTAGGAATAGAGCCCAGGATTTTCCAGGTCCTTATAGACTCTGGCCTCTCACTTCTCAAGACTTCTTTATTTAACTATGTTGGAAAGAACAAACTACAATTCCCAGGGATATTTAGGGCTAACTTAGGGCTCCTTCCGGGATTTGAGCATTTCCGGCGGAAGTGGCTACGGGTACGCCAATCTCCTTCCCTAAACAATGTAGACTACGACTCCCACTGTCCTTAGCGCCGGGGTTGGGTTAGTGGGAAAGGAACCGGAAACAGAATGAGGAGCTGGACCAGGTGAGGAAATAGGAGGCTGGGAACATGGGTTTGTGGGGGCAGGTTCAGGGCTCCCAGGGTCGTCGAGACTGAGCCGAGAGAGTAGTCAGAATGTCTGGGTTTTGGGGACCCTCTTTCCGTGTGGGGTTAGACTCAGTGCAGGGAGAGCCCAGCCTGTGAAACTGCCTGGGAGGTCTGCAGGATCGAGGCTTTCCAGTTGGCTGGAGACAGCTGGCGCCGGCGGAGGTTTTGTTTGGTGCCTTAGTAGTCGTTGGTCCCTTCGGAACCAGATGAAGGTCTTTTTGAGTTTATGCTTTATTATTATTTATTTATTTACTTTTGAGATGGAGTCTCCCTCTGTCACCCAGGCTGGAGTGCAATAGTGCAGTCTCGGTTCCCGGGTTTCCCCGCCTCCCGGGTTCAAGCGATTCTCCTGCCTCAGCCTCCTGAGTAGCTGGGATTACAGGCACGCGCCACCACGCCCGGAAAATTTTTGTATTTTTAGCAGAGACGGGGTTTCACCAAGTTGGTCAGGCTGGTTTTGAGCTCCTGACCTCAAGTGATCCGCCCGCCTTGGCCTCCCAAAGTGCTGGGATTACCGGCGTGAGCCACGGCGCCCGGCCTATGCCTTATTATTATTACTGTAATTATTATTTAGTTTGAGGATATTTCTTATTGTCCCTTGGACTCCCAAAGTGCCTCCAAGGGACAGGGGAGTGCATCGTGTGTCTTCAGATCATTCCTGACTTCCTGGATTTGATGTCAGAGAAGTCTGACATCAGCCTGAAGTCTGGCCTTGGTGGCCAGCCTTATCGATGAGTCAAACTACACTGCCTTTGCGCTTAATATCATATGACACCATATTTTGTAAAATAATCTTTTTATTTATTTATTTATTTTTTTGAGATGGAGTCTTTCTTGCTCTGTCGCCAGGCTGGAGTGCAGTGGTGCGATGCTGGCTCGCTGCAACTTCCGTTTTCCGGTTTCGAGCAATTCTGCCTCAGCCTCCCGAATACCTGGGACTACAGGCACGCACCACCAGGCCCGGTGAATTTTTTGTATTTTTAGTAGAGACGGTGTTTCACCATGTTGGCCAGGATGGTCTTGATCTCTTGACCTCGTGATCCGCTCGTCTCAGCCTCCCAAAGTGCTGGGATTACAGGCGTGAGCCACCACGCCCGGCAATATCTGCATTTCTTAAGCCTCTGGCTCTTGGGGCGACTTTGGTAGAACTGACATGTTCCTCCTTTGGGTTCTTCTAGTGTTGTATTAAAGCTCACATCACACTGTATTATAGTTAGTTTACCTGCCCTCTCACAGCAGTTTAGGAGCTTACGAGAAGCCTGGTCTGCATTTTACTCATTTTGGATTTCTTCCTCACCAAGAGACTGCTGCAGTGCCTGTCATGTAAGAGACTCATAAGTATTGAAAAAAATAAGTGAGTTAACAGCTGGTGGTAGGTTGGATGGAATATGTGATTTTCATAGAGGAGAGAGTTAAATGGGTTTCCCAAGAGAATCTTCTTAGAGATGAAACAAGAGTGGAATTCAAGTCAGTTGACTTCTAGCCTGTGGCTTTTGCTATGAGATCAGGCTTTGAAATTATGGGAAGATAAGGCTTCATCACTCTTTTGTGTACCCCCGGCCTTGCTGTCTCCAACACAGGTCTGTAAATGCCAAAGGTAGGCTCAAGACTTCTCTGGAGATTCTAGAGTTGGAACAGCCAATCTGCCAATGTTGGTGCTGCATGGGAGATGCAAAGCAAGGTCCCCCGAAACACTGGTGTTCTCCACAGCGTCTTTCTCAGCTTTTGTGTGAGCCCAGTTTGTCCTGGGTAGCCACCTGGACAGATCAGTTAAGACTACTGAGATCAGTTAGGGAAGGACTTCCTAAGTTTGGCCTCTGATTTTTTTTCTCTCCCTCTTCCCCGAGGCTAGGGTGAGAAAAATAGGTTGATCAAGCTGCTGTGTCAACCTTGAGTTCTCATCTGGAGGAAGCAGTCACTCCTGACCCAGGCAGAAAGTTGAGAGGAAGGAATGACAGTGGTACTAGTCACATGGGAGACCCAGATGTGATGGCCTCACCAGAGCCTGGAAAACAAGCAGAGTGCAAAGTGGGCAGCTGAGCTTTGAGTGAACTCAGGAAATAGAAGTGGAGAGGGATCCATCAGGAGTGGCTCTTTTACCACCTTTTGGTAAAACGTGGTTTTTTAATCTTTATTTTTTAGAGGTGGGGTCTCACTATGTCAGCCAGGCTGATCTTGAATTCCTGGCCTCAAGCAGTTCTTCTGCCTCGGCCTCCCAAAGTGCTGGGATTACAGGCATGAGCCACTGCGCCTGGCCCAGAGGCTACTTTTAAACAAAAGTGAAAAAGAAATGGACATTGCTGAGCAGGTGTTTGTTGTATACCTACCTAATAAGGGCCAAGACCTTGGGCTTATGGAGGGAGATTGATCAGAGCCTGGCTCTTGATCTGCCCAAGTTTAGCTGGGGAGGCAAAATGAATTCATCAAGGTGACGCTAACTATGGTGACACACAGTGGTTCTCAGCCTTCACCAACTATCAGAATCACCCTGGGAAGCTTGTTTAAAATACAGATTCCCAAGCCTCACACCAGACCTACTTGTGTTGGGGGTGGGCTTGGGACACTATGGCAAATGCTGCAGTGTTCTGAGGAGGGAAGACTTTATCAAAGGGATGGTTTGCGCTGCACTTTGAAGGATGGGAGTGATTTGGATGTGGGGACAGGTGGGGGAATCACAGTCCTGGTTGACTAGATGACTATTGGATGATGTCCCGGTTGACTTGAGGAGTGTATTTGGTTGGATTGTAGAAATGGTATGTGCAAAGTTTTGGGAGTTGAGGTAGGAAAGGCTTTTTGAAAATGTGAGTAGAATGGTCAGGTTGGAACACTGGGTTCGAATGGGAGTGGAGTGAAGGGATGGCCTTTGCAGTTTACAAAGCTTGCTGTCATGTTCCTCTCCCTCCCCCGCCATTCTCTCCCCTCTCCTTTCTCCCACCTCCCTTCTCTCTTGACTTTCTTCTTCCTCTCCCATTTCTTCCTTTTCTCCCTTCACCTACACATCTCATTCCATCCTTATGTCAACATTATTAAGTGGATATTATTATTTTTTGTATTTGAAGGAGGAAACCTGAGGCTCTGACCATGTGTGTAGCCTGTAAGATTCTATTAAGAGTCTGTAATCATCCTCCTCACTATTCCTGAGTGTGAGAAAGAAGCTAGGCTGGGATTAGGAGGTGGTGGAATTAGCAGGGTGGCTGATCAAACCATCTAAGGGAAGGTGGTGTGGGTGGTTAAAGCATAGCCTTGAGCCAGAGAGATGGTTCAATCAAATCCCAGCTTTATTATTTACTAACTGCAAGACCTTGGGCAAGTTGCTTAATCTTGCTAAGGCTCAGTGTCCTCACTTATAACATGGGAACAGTAATACCCACCTCATGGGGTTGTTGTGAGGATCAATGAGGTGTACCTGGCACAGAGCAGTCGCTCACCACCTGGAAGCTATTGTAATTAGCCTTCCCAGGTCTCTGGGCTGTGACTGTGCACTTACATTTCATTTTTCAGCACTGTGCTTTCCAGGATACAGTCCATTCTGGCTGGGCTTTTCTTTTTTAGGAGACATTAAAAGTGCTGAAAGGACGCCACCGGTAAGTGTTTACTGAAAACCTACAGTGGCTGGGCACAGTGGCTCATGCCTGTAATCCCAGAACTTTGGGAGGCCGAGGAGGGCGGATCACTTGAGGTTGGGAGTTTGAGACCAGCCTGACCAACACGGAGAAACCCTGTCTCTATTAAAAAATACAAAACGAGTGTGGTGGCACATGCCTGTAATCCCAGCTACTCAGGAGGCTGAGGCAGGAATCACTTGAACCTGGGAAGCGGAGATTGTGGTGAGCTGAGATGGCATGATCACACTCCAGCCTGGGCAACAAGAGTGAAACTCCATCTCAAAAATAAAGGAAACCTACTATGTGTTTGGCATAGCCCAGGAACTAGTGACTCAGACCTATGCCTGATGGAAAGTAGATTTGGTTTGGAGTGGGAGATGTTTGGTGGCTGTGACTTATCCTCACCAGGTGCCATATGAAGAGGAAGGATATTGGAATTGGGGAGAGAAAGGGCCCTTCATTACCAGGAATTGAGGTGTGCTTAGTCCTGCTTGGTGGTTGGTAGATGCCTGACGTGGTCTCTTAGGGTCCTTTCTGAGCCTAGGAAATGGTAGTGGGGGCCCTGGCCAGCATGTATCCCTCCTCCCACTCTGTGGCTGAGGAATGACGAGGGCTCTGTCCATCTCTTTTCCCAGGTGACAGTGGCATGGCCATATGCCCCACGCTTTCCTGCTGGGGTCCACCCATGAGCCTATAGGTGCCCTGATGGAGCCCCAGCCCAGCCTTGGAAGCTTGGCTGAGAGCTTCCTGGAGGAGGAGCTTCGGCTCAATGCTGAGCTGAGTCAACTGCAGTTTTCGGAGCCTGTGGGCATCATCTACAATCCTGTGGAGTATGCATGGGAGCCACATCGCAACTACGTGACTCGCTACTGCCGGGGCCCCAAGGAAGTGCTCTTCCTGGGCATGAACCCTGGACCTTTTGGCATGGCCCAGACTGGGGTAAAGGGTTTGACTTCCCCAGTGGGTGGAGTGGGAGGCTCTAGGTGGCTGCTTGGCTGGGTATGCTGTGGAGAGGGAGCATGTGCATGGGTATAGATATGTGTTGGTCCCCCCGCCCCATTCTTTCTCAACACACATACTGGCTCCTGTGGTCTCAGGCCCTCTCCCAGTGTCTCTGCCTGTAATTAACCAAGCACATTAATGGTAGTTTTGTTTTCCCTGTAAGCTGTCCACTAATTGCCTCTGAGAGCCCTTCCTTCTGCCAGCCCATCCCTACTTTACTGGATCTCCCCTGTCCCTGAAGTGTGGTTGGGGTCAGAAGAGGGACTAGGACTGGGGGGTCCTCAGAAGAGACTTGTTGACAGGGGTGGGTATGTAAGAGATGCAGGGCATTCTGGGAACCTGGGTTCTGTTTCTTAGCTAAGGTGAGGTTCAAAACGGAGCCAGCCTCCAGTGCCTGCCTGCTTTCCTTTCAGAGCTCAGGATGAGTGACTGCCCCTCAGTGGGGGTGCTTGGCAGGTGGGGGAGGGGAAGAGGCTTCAGGGCAGGAGGCTCAATCGCTTTTATTGACTCCACCTGGGTGATGAAAGGTGATCAATGATGATCGATGGAAATGACGGCCTGAGGCTTGGGGCTGTGAGGGCACCCAGAGAGCAGTGGTCAGCCCGTCCTTGTGCCTCCTTTAACCCTGGCTGCCTTTTTGTCTCAGACCATCTGTCTGTCCCCAGTACTAACCATCAAACCTAGGGCTAGCTATCTGAAAGTACTCCCTGTACTTGGTCCCAAAGGCTAGTTGGAGTAGACGCAAACAGATTCTTCTGGACCATAGTCCACAATGAAAAACTGGAAAAAGATGGACAAAGATGGACAGGCTCAATCCATAGGGTCAAGAATCCTTGTCTCAGGGCTTTGGGTGAAGGTTGGGGTTGGAGGTGCAGGCTGGATCCTCATGGAAGGTATAAAGAAGTCAGTTGGGGCCGGGCGCGGTGGCTCAAGCCTGTAATCCCAGCACTGTGGGAGGCCGAGGCGGGTGGATCACGAGGTCAAGAGATCAAGACCATCCTGGTCAACATGGTGAAACCCCGTCTCTACTAAAAATACAAAACATTAGCTGGGCATGGTGGCGCATGCCTGTAATCCCAGTGACTCAGGAGGCTGGGGCAGGAGAATTGCCTGAACTCGAGAGGCGGAGGTTGCGGTGAGCCGAGATCGCACCATTGCACTCCAGCCTGGGTAACAAGAGCGAAACTCCGTCTCAAAAAAAAAAAAAATAAACCTGCCCAAAAAAAAAAAAAGAAGTCAGTTGGTCCAGAGCCCAGGCATCAGGTCTCCAGTTTGAAGCCCTTCATGTGTCTTTCCTTCCTCACAGGTGCCCTTTGGGGAAGTGAGCATGGTCCGGAACTGGTTGGGCATTGGGGGGACTGTGCTGACCCCTCCCCAAGAGCACCCTAAGCGACCAGTGCTGGGACTGGAGTGCCCACAGTCAGAAGTGAGTGGTGCCCGATTCTGGGGCTTTTTCCAGAACCTCTGTGGACAGCCTGACGTCTTCTTCCATCACTGCTTTGTCCACAATCTATGCCCTCTGCTTTTCCTGGCTCCCAGTGGGCGCAACCTCACCCCTGCTGAGCTGCCTGCCAAGCAGCGAGAACAGCTTCTTGGGATCTGTGATGCAGCCCTCTGCAGGCAGGTGCAGCTGCTGGGGGTGCGGCTGGTGGTGGGAGTTGGGCGACTGGCAGAGCAGCGGGCACGACGGGCTCTGGCAGGCCTGATGCCAGAGGTCCAGGTGGAAGGGCTCCTGCATCCCTCTCCCCGTAACCCACAGGCCAACAAGGGCTGGGAGGCAGTGGCCAAGGAAAGACTGAATGAGTTGGGGCTGCTGCCACTGCTGTCGAAATGAGTGCCCCTGGGACTTGGCATGGGACACATTCAAGACCTCGAAGTCATTCTTGGGCAAGCAGATGACAACACATCTCTTGGACTGGAGCGAAGGGTCCTCCTGTGCTCCCTGGTCGCTGGGAAACGTATTCTTTGATATGTTGAACTGTCTTCCAACCAGCCGTGGCAGTTTTGACACTACTCCGGTTTGCCCTCCTGATTCCTGCTTTCTTTTTTTGAGACAGAGTTTTGCTCTGTCACCCAGGCTGGAGTGCAGTGGCTCGATCTCGGCTCACTGCAACCACCACCTCCCGGGTTCAAGCAATTCTGCTTCAGCCTCTCGAGTAGTTGGGATTACAGGTGGCCACCACCTCGCCCTGCTAATTTTTGTATTTTTAGTAAAGATGGGGTTTCACCATCTGGACTAGGTTGGTCTTGAACCTCTAACCTTGTGATCCACCTGCCTTGGCCTCCCAAAGTGCTGGGATTACAGGCGTGAGCCACTGCGCCCAGCTGATTCCTACCTTCTTTACCTTTGAACATTGTCCCTTTCATGGGACCCCACTTTGTAGAGAATCTACAGAAGGTGTGTATTTGCACTTGCAGACTGCTCTACCTCATTGCTTCCTTGGGAGACTATTCACTGAGAGTGCCCTAGACAGTAATTTTTAAGGTCACATTTGCTATTTCAGAGGAAATATCTTGCCAGGATACCTACCCATCCTTATAGAACAGCTGGCTTCGGCTGACCCCTTTCCTCACAGGGACCAAGGCAAAGCATGGGACATGAAATTAAGAATGAACTTCTTATGGGAGGCTGCAGCTGGATCAGAGGAAAAATCTGGTATGGCAGAGTGAAAGTCAGAAGACCTGGATTTTCATCCCAGCTTTGAGACTTGTGAACTTTTTGACGGACAAATTGAGAAACCTCTCCATGCCTCAGGCTCCTCATCTGTAAAATGGGGATGCCTACTTTTTGGGGTTGGTGTGAGGATTAATTGAGATAGCACTTGAAAGTGCCTTGCATGGGCCTGGCTCGTGGGTGCTCATTACAATACTCTTCTTTCTTGCCTCTGGGTTGAGGATTCACTGCACTACAATGGTAGCCCCTCTCCATTCTGGATACCTTGCTAGGGGAGAGTCTGGGCTTCCACCTGTGGCCAGGGTGAGGGGAAAATTCTCACCTTGTCAGAGATGGATCAATGACTGAAAAACCTAGCCTGTGTTTTTTTTTCACTGTAAGCATTAAAAGCTCCTAAAGCCTTTTGTCTTGTTACTTTTTTCCCACCTTGGATGCTAGAGGTGGAAGGTAGTTGTTTAGATTTCTTCCCTCTTACCTCTTCATTGTTGGCAAAGGGTTCTCTTAGGCAGCTGGGGGAAGGATGTAGTAGATCTGTATCTCTCTCTTTTCTCTTTTCCTGAGACGGAGTCTCATTCTGTTGCCTAGGCTACAGTGCAGTTGTGTGATCTCAGCTCACTGCAACATCTGCCTCCCGAGTTCAAGCGATTCTCCTGCCTCAGCCTCCCGAGTAGCTGAGGTTACAGGCATGTGCCACCACGCCTGGCTAATTTTTGTATTTTTAGTAAGGACGGGGTTTCACCATGTTGACCAGGCTGGTCTCAAACTCCTGACTTCAAGTGATCTACCTGCCTTGACTCCCAAAGTGCTGGTGCCTGGCCGGATACAGTAGATCTCTAACTGCCTTGCCAAACCTGCAGGGTCACTGTTAGGGGTCTTATATGATACTCTGGGCGCTGTGACAAACAGGCGACGGGGCAGATGGGAACCTGGTATCCAATTCATTTTTTATGTGCTGAATGGTTGATTGCGTGCTGCTTTGGTAAGGGTTGGGAAAGTGAACCAAGTTGGGAGCAGAGCAGGTCCTGAGACCACCTTCATGAGGGCACATGGTTTACTTCCTGTCTCCTGGAACAAAGGTTATTTCCAGCTTCCAAAATTAGTAAGATCTTTAGTATAAATCCTCTCTTACTTCCTTGTATAGTAAAGAATTTGGCCTTTGTCTTCAGTTCCGAAGGAGACTCTTAATCCTTGGAATTTCCCTAGTGATAGAAGTATCTTTGGTTTTTGTGGAGGGTCCCTGAAACTACACCTGAGATTTGACCTTAGGCCACATCTTATTTTATATTTAAATTTGATCTCAGACTGCACCCAAGTTTATGGTAAGATTTGACTGAGGATGGAGGCTGACCATGCCAGAATGACCAACCATATAGTTACAGGCTGGGACTCTGAGCTGGATGATATCAGCTTGATCCCCAGGGAAGGGAGAGGGGCTAGAGATTGAGTTCAGCCACATGCCCATGATTTTAATCAACTATGCCTGCAGTAAAACCCTAATAAAAACTTCTGACACTGAGGTATTGGTCAGCTTCCTGGCTGGTGACCACATGGATGTGCTGAGGAATATGCAGGGGTGTCCTGTTTCTCTGAGCAGAGGGCACACATCTGTGTGTGGGACACTCCTGGACCACACCACATATTTGTTTTCCTTTGGCTGGTTCTGATTTGCATCTTTTGTAATAGAACTTTAATGATAGTATAGAGCTTTCCTGAGTTCTGTGAGCCATTCTAGCAAATTCTGCAACCTTGGGGCCTGGGGGTGGGAGGTGGGGATTGCGGGAACTCTTGAATTTATTTGGTCAGAAGTGCAGGTGGTTTGGGGATCCTTGAGCTTGCAACTGACATCTGAAGTGAGGGCAGTATTGCTAGGGACTATGGCCTTAAGCCCGTGGGGTATGCACGAACTCCCTGTAGTTAGCATCAGAATTGCATTACTGTTTTGAACCTTCGCAAGACATAGATGTCTTCCCCTTTTGCTGTTAGTGCTGCATAGTGAGTGCCCTATGTTGCAGAGCACTGGATTAGGCACTGCAGAATACTGGCACAGAGATATAAGCCATCATTTCATTATATATTTAGCTGAGGTAGTCAAGGAAAGCTCTCTGGAGGAGGTGGCATTTCAGGTGGCCTTAAGACTGGGAAAGTTTTGGGTAGCTTAGAGAACAGCATTGTTATGTTCGAGGAGTGACAAGTTGTATCAGAGTCTAGAGAGACAGAACTGATAGGATACATGTATATATGAAAGGGGGTTTATTAAGGAGTTGACTCACGTGATCACAGGTGAAGTCCCATGATAGGCCCTCTGCAAGTTGAGGAGCAAGGAAGCCAGTAGTGGCTTAGTCCAAGTCCCAAATCCTCAAAAGTAGGGAAGCTGACAGTGCAGCCTTCTGTCTGTGTCCTAAGGCCCGAGAGCCCCTGGCAAACTACTGGTGTAAGTCCAAGAGTCCAAAAGCTGAAGCGTAGTGGTCAGGAAGCATCTAGCACGGGAGAAAGGTAAGGGCTGAAAGACATAGCAAGTCAGCTGCTTCCATCTTTTTCTGCCTGCCTTTTCTAGGCGCCCTAGCAGCCGATTGGATGGTGCCCATCCACATTGTGGGTGGGTCTTCCTGCAGGTGGGTCTTTCTCTCCCAGTCTACTCACTCAAATGTTCATCTTTTCTGGAAACACCCAGAAATAATAACTTTGCATCATTTGATTTAATCAGGTTGACACTCAGTATTAACCAACACGCAAGTAGCTCGGCCCAGCTGGGAGAAAAAGATGAAGAGGTAGATTGAACCTAGCCTGTGAAGGGCCTTGAATGCTAGAATAATTTTTGAGAATTTAAAGTGTCGTGGGGGAAGTGAGAGGCACAGAACACACGCACTGAAAATACTCAACAATAGGTGAAAACCCATAGAAGGAGATGAAGGGGCAAACCATGCAGGAGGCAGTGTGGGTGCAGTGGGGAAAGGGAGGGGAAGGGAGAGGATGAGTCTATAGGGGAGGATATCTGGGGCATGGCAGGTCTCGGTGAAAGCCTAGAGTTGTGGTCTCTAGGTGATGAGCTAGTGGGATAGGATTGGGTAGTACACAGGGACACTTGAACAGTAGTGACCAGGATGACCTGAAGGTCTGGGTCCTAGTGGGGCTTTTGCTCTCAGTTCCTGGGATGCATCTCGTCGGAGAGGCTGAGTAAGCTCCTGGGCCTTCCTGAGGGCGCTATATTAGGCTGCTAGGGCTGCCATAACAAAACTACCACAGACTGGGTGGCTTAATACAACAGAAATTTCTTTTTTCACAGTTCTGGAATCCTTAAGTCCAGGATCAAGACCGTTTGATCTTTCCTGAGGCCTCTCCTTAGGTTGCAGATAGCTGCCTTCTTGCTGTGTCCTGCCATAGCCTTTTCTGAGCATGCACCACCCTGGTGTCTCTCTTCTTAGAAGGACACCAGTCATACTGGATTAGGGCCCCTGCCTTATTACCCGATTTTTTTTTTTTTTTTTTTTGAGACGGAGTCTTGCACTGTTGCCTGAGCTGGAGTAGAGTGGCACAATCTCGGCTTACTGCAACCTCAGCCTTCCGGGCTCAAGGGATTCTCCTTGCCTCAGCCTCCCAAGTAGCTGGGATTATAGGCACCTGCCACCACACCCAACTAATTTATTTGTATTTTTAGTAGAGATAGGGTTTTACTATGTTGGCCAGGCTGGTCTTGAACTCCGTACCTCATGATCCATCCGCCTCAGCCTCCCAAAGTACTGGGATTACAGGCATGAGCCACTGCACGCAGCCTCTGATTACCTGATTTAACCTTAAGTGCCTCTTTAAAGGCCCTAGTCATACTGGGACTTCAACATACAAATTTGGGGGGAGGCATAATTCAGTCTATAACAGGTACACAAAGTCATGTCACTGCTTTTTTTGTCCCCAACCAATGTCAACTGCAATCAAAATAGGGTACTTAGGAGTGCCTTTTTTCCAGTCTGGAGGATTGGAAGCTGGTCTGGAGGCTTAGGTAGCTGATCAGACTTAGTTTCACCAGACTGGCCTTTACCCCTCAGTTCATTCTAGAGCAGTTTCTTCAGTGCAAAGGAGAGTGTTCTTAGGGAAAGGAAATTCTTTTTTTTTTTTTTTTTTTTAATACAGAGTCTTGCTCTGTTGCCAGGCTGTAGTGTAGTGGTGCGATCTTGGCTCACTGCAACCTCCAGCTCCCAGGTTCAAGTGATTCTCCTGCTTCAGCCTCCCAGGTAGCTGGGATTACAGGTGCCTGCCACCACGCCCAGCTAATTTTTGTATTTTTATTAGAGACGGGGTTTCACCATGTTGGCCAGGATGGTCTCGATCTCCTGAGCTTGTGATCTGCCCACCTTGGCCTCCCAAAGTGCTGGGATTACAGGCGTGAGCCGCTGCACCTGGCCATTGATTATTTTTTTCTGAGTGGAAGAGAATGGAGACTTTAGCTGCTACAAA